GTGTTTCACAGGTATAAAGCTCCATAGCCTTGAATCATTTATTGAGAAAATCATTCCTTTGGAAGGAGCTTCTATTAACTTCAGTTGGTAAAATTCACTTTGGAGTAAATATGTCCTTAATACTTGTGTAACTGGTGCTAATCATTCTTTGAACGAGAGAATAGGCTCTAGGTTCACAGCCTGTAGCTGTTGTTGGAACTTGCAGGCCTCTGCCATCACAGGGCTGGGGAATCAACCCTCCTGAATTATGAACTGAACATGAAATAGGACTCAGAAATCACACAAACGGAGAATGAAGTAATCTTCTTGACTGCTGTCAGTCAGAAGTTATGAGCTGCTCTTTCAGATGTGAATCGTCTGTCTCGCATGTCCCCGTGAATTGGACTTAGCCTCCCATACTTCCCAGCGAAGGGACCAGCCTGGACTCCTCCTGGGCCTCCCACCTGGCCACCTCACTTACTGCAGGAGAACATGACTCAGCCTGGAACTGCACCATGGTCAGGCACTTTGTAAGCACTGGGGAGAGAGAGTGATCAAGAGAATAAATACTGCATCAAACTGGAGACGCTCCACACTGGTAGCTCACAGTCTAGAGGAGGGGAGGAGGTAGACCCAAGCTGAGTTTGGAGATCCACAGCATTGACAAGTGCTAGGAAGAAACCAAACAGGGCCTTGGCAAGGATAGTGGTGAGGGATGGGATACCTTGGGTGATATCTGGAAAGCCTTCCCGAGGAGGTGCCCTTGGCATTTGTTCTGCAGGAGGGGCAGGAGCTCGTCACATGCAGAACTGGATACACACATGGCTGGAGCGCAGGCTTGGAGGAAGAAGAGGGAAGACATGAACTTTGAGAGGCAGAGAGGGTGAGATCCTCGAAGGTCAGCTCCTTGCAGGAGGCCAGACCCTATGCCTTGAACGATGGCCAAAGCTTCTGTGATCATTTTGGAGACTCTACTTATGAGATGGAAGATGGGTTGAAGGGAGAAGAGAGGGAGAATAAGAGTGACTGTGTTCATGAGATGGCGCCAGATGGGAGATGGGAGAATGATGATGACATTTACCAAACAAGTCCTTACCACCCGCCAGTGTCTATCCTAAGCGCCTCAGATATTCAACTAATCTGACTGAGCTGGTGAGGCTGAGTAATCAAGCACTTTGGATTGGCAGGAAATGCTGGAGGAAGAACTTGTAAGGGACCAAAGAAGGGCAAAGGGATTTCTGTTTTGGGAATCAACTGAGCTGTTCATTGATGCAGTCATTCAGAATACACTCGAGTCCCCACTCAGTATGCCAGCTGGTTCTGGGGACTGCTATGGTACAGTATGAGTGACATACCGCGTCTCTGTCCCCTGGAGTTTGAATTCTAGAGCAGAGGCAAGTTATACACAAACACTCCACAAATAATCAGTAGCTTGGTGTGTTTGCAGCATTGTAATTGGGGCCTTCTTGATTCCAAGGATCCCACGGGTCTGAGGGGCCATCTGGCTGGCAGTAGGATTTGCAAGTCCATGCTCAGGGGAGACATAGTGGCTTACCCAGGGGCTCTGCAAAATGTAGTCTAGACAGTGTTTTCAGATACTTTCACTGCGTGCGGCATGGTGCACCTTAGAAAGGCCACCGTGAAGTGCTGTTTACAGGGACCACAGTCTCATTTGGAGATGGGTTATCAGTTCTCTTGATGTCCCCAAAGTGGAACATGAGTAGACCCCCCTGAGTATTCCTCTTGACGGGCGTGACACACAGCTGCTGCTGGTTGGCCAGCCTTTGATGCCAGGAAGCTAACAGGGGCAGCGTCATTGGGTGGGGGCCATATGTCCTCCAAATAAGCACTTTCTTATCCTTCTACTGAGGGAAGCTGGGCAAGAACACAAGCCCCTTTCACGGTACAGACACCTATAGGCGAGGAGCGTTCCGTTTCCCATTTACTCTTGCTCCTGAGAGAGACCTTACACAGTGCAGAGGAACACAGACGGGAAGCCCCGTGGATGGTTGGCAGCGTCCTCCTTGAGAGCCTGCTAGCCTTCTCCTTGGCTCTGCAACCAGCTCATCGCCTCCCAGGACCATGGCTTTGATCAGCTGCCTGCTGAGCCTCTGGACCTCGTCTGGTTCTTTTGCTGTTGGATAATCTGAAGTTTGTAGTTCTTGGGAATTCACATCCTCAGGCCCTGTCGACCCTTAAGTCTTTGTCTCTCTTTTGTTTTTTGTTCTCCTTGTTCCTGGCATACAGGAGGTGTCCAAGGTATGCTGTCTGATCCAGCCAGGCGGGACTGTCCCCTTTCCTCTGCAGGCTCTGTCCTTCCCACCTGCTCTTTCCCTTGTTCTGTTGTCTACTGCAGGATGCCTCCTCCAGCCTTCTTCTGCACCCTCCCAGAGCTCCTGTTTAATTGCCATATCGTCCATGAAAGCTTTCGACATTCTCCACCACAAAGAAGTGGTCTCTTGTTCTCTGCTTCCTGCAGAGATCTGTACAGCTCAAGTTGTGGATCACCACTGTAGGAGTGCCTTCACATTATTGTCCAAGTTGGCCTATGAGGATGTAGGCATTCTGTTCACAAGCTATGTGGCTCTGTGAGACAGCCCAGCCGAATGGCACATGTTCTAAAGATCTTGTAGTTCCCTCTACCAGATTGTTAGTTCCCAAAGAGAGAGAGAGAGAGAGCTCTTAGCTCGTTCTAACTGTATCCCAAACGTATCTTGTGTGTGGTTAAGGCTTCATAGTGATTTGTTGAGCATTTATTTATACACCCCACCACATACACACACAGCATTGTTGTTGTTTTTTTGTCTATGTATAGGAGAACTAATTGAAAATATTTTATTAAAAATGCACCAATCAGCACTAGAAATAGTGATTCAAAAGTAGTAAAGTAATATTGTAAAGTAATGTCTCGTAAAGTAATATTGGTGATAGTCAGCATTTATTAGAATCTTATTATGTACCAGGTACTTTACTGAGCACTTTATATACATATTATCTCACTTTATCCTCACAATTACCCACTGTGATATTACTCACCAATATCATTTCTGTTTTGAAGAGGAGATAGAGAGGTCTAGAGAGGTGAAGTAACTTGACAGTGCTGAAGCCAGTGTTCCAAACCCGGAATTCTGGATCAGGTTGCAGTTTGTTCTTGGTTAGTACTCATTTTCAGGCATAGACTCTGAACTGTCGTGTGGAGAGTACCGTGTACTAGTTTTAATTTTTAGCATGGCGTTTTCGCTGACACAGGAGGGTCACTGTTTTTTCCTCCTGTTGAACATGTTTATTGTGGACTAATAATTTGCCAGGCTCTTTCCTGGTCACTGTGGATGGGGATGGATAGATGGCCCTGTCTTCAGGAGCCTTGTGGTAGACTGGGAGATTGTGTATCCCAAGGCCCCATGCAGATGGTCGATTGACTCTTCAAACAAGTTCGAAGGAGAAAGATGTAAGGAAGGGTTTCAAGAAGGTGGCCCAGAGGAGAGGTCTTACAAGGAGAATTTTGAAGGATGGGCAAGGGTCTTCAAGTAGGGAGAGGGTCTCCTCTGCAGAGGAAAGAACACCAGCAGATGAGCAGAGAGCATGGACGGTGGAGCAGCTAGACCCAGCTTGGCCCATTTAGTATTGCCACCTCATGGCTCAATTAGCGGACAATCCTGTGGGCTTACACGTGTTCACTCTCCGCGAGTGAGGCACTGCTGTGGCGAGTACGACACTGGGAGGTGGTTGTGCCAACACTGAGGGATAAATGGACCACCTCTCATGGCTGTGGCTTTGTCTGGCTGCCTTTGCCTTGGCCTTCGGGTAGCTCACTGGCCACTGAGCAAACTCATGTTCTCTTGGGCCACAATCACCACTAAGGCAGCTTCCGAAAGGGGAGCTTCTCGTGGGGCTCCCCTTCCCTTAGAGGGTCTAATGGGAGAATTTGCAGGATTCTGCAGTGGTTCCCTTGGGGCAGTTTGCAGAGCCACTTGTCCCTTTAATTCACCTACTCAGTTTGTCACTCTTAGGCAGTTTATACAGGTGTGGCAGTTTGTTCTTGGTTAGTAATAATTTTCAGACATAGATTCATCTCTACAGGAGCGGCAACTGGCCTTGCCAACCTCTTCTTAAACTTGTGCTCAGTCACCAACCCAGGAACTGCTCTCTTGCCCTTGGCTTCTTCTGTTCCATTTTTGTCCCATTTGTAAGATCTTTTGCCCTAACATTCCTCTAGATTCAACTTCCTATTGCTCTTCTTTAGACTTTGTGTCTGTATTTTGTGCTACTATAACATAATGCCAGAGAATAATGTTTAAAGAACAAAAATTTATTGAGTGAAGAATTTGGAGGCTGAGAGTTCCCATATCAAGATGCCAGCATTTGGCAAAGTTCTTCTTGCTGTGTCATCACATGGGAAAAGGCAGAAGGGCAAGAAAGAGCAAGGGTCTAATTCAGCCTTTAGTAAGGAACCCATTCCCACAATAACAGTATTAATCTATTTGAGAGGGGGCACCCCATGACCCAAATACCTCTCTTCCATGAGGACAGGGCTCTAGATGTCTCCATCATGAAAGCCTATTTTCTTTTGGAGAAGAACAAGCAGGAAACTCAACTTACCCTGTGCCTGGGGAGAGGTGTCTGGCCAGCTGTCCACCGCTGACCTAACGACGTGGCCCCTCTGTCAGTGTGTGTCCGCACTAATGCCCGTATGTTCCCCTGGTAGACATAATGTTTGGCCACATCCTTACCTACACCCTCCCTGAGACTTCTACAAACACACATCCTCTGGTAACAGAGGATTGTCTTGGGTGGCCCGTTGATACCTTCTGTGGTGTGTGCCAGTCACCTCTCTGAAACACCAAGGTTCGGAGAAACGACCTTCTTCCTTTCACTGCTGTGTCCTCACCACAAAGCGCCCTTGGGTTACCAGCCGTAATGACTTTCCCAAGTGCTGTTGGCAAGTGGGAGCTCGGGAGGGATGTGCCTCATGCTGGAACTCCCGGGCCTAACTCTCCCTGGCCTTCTCCTGTCCCCTGCAGACGGAACCCTCTGCACTTCCACCTCATTGCTGACTCCATCGCCGAGCAGATCCTGGCCACGCTCTTCCAGACCTGGATGGTGCCCGCTGTGCGCGTGGACTTCTACAATGCAGATGAGCTCAAGGTACAGGAGGGAGGAAGCCCGAGGCCTCCCTGGCCTGGCCCCATGGGGAGCTTTTCTCTGCCCCTTTAAATTGACTCACAGTGGCAGACGTCAGGGCTCCTCTGGATAATGTCCAGGATATGACGGAGGTTGGCATTATTACTGAGAGCACTAAGGCAACCAATCCATTAACACAGAATCCATGCCAGTCCCTCGGTGCGGGAGGCCGTATCTGAAAGTGTTCCATGGTAGGATTGGAGAGGATTTTGTTCCCCAGTGAGGTAAATCCTGAACTCAGTCTGAGCGACCTGGGTTGGAATTTGTGTATTGTCATTGACTGGCCTTAAGATGCAAGGTGAGTCACCTTCCTCTGGCCCTGTTTTCTCAGTGATAGGAAGGTGGTTAAAATGTCAACTCACGGTGTAAACTAAGAGGCTCAAATGAGCGAATATATGTGCAGATGTTTTAAAAACACTGTGCTGAATAATTATGTGTTAGACCAGAGGGATTCAACCAAATGAGATCCTTGCTTAAAGTCCTTCCGTAGTGCCACCTTGCTTGCATGGAGACTGAGATCACATTCTGATTAGAAGCCCTGTCTTTCTGCCTCTTGCCTCTTCTAACAGCACCATCTCTTGTAATTTTTGCAGAATTTCCCCCATTCCCAGCTCTGATTAACAGAGAAGTCCTCCAGTTCTCTTTGCCTTCTTTTCTGTGTTTGAGCCTTTGTTTATACTGATCCTTCTGTCCCATGTGCCCTTCCCACCTACCTTGTCACAATTTCTACCCACTATTAGGACCCAGTTGCATTACCACCTCCTCTGGGCACCGTCCCCAACCTCCCCAGGGAATAGGAAGGCATTTTCTATTCTCGTTTATCTACTGCAACATTCTTAATGGGGTATGGGGAAAAGAAGCACACCTGATTCTTTTCAGTATTTCTGGTGCAAAATAGGCGCCCTGTAATGCTTGCGGATTTAGCAAATTGTTATTATTAGAGGAACACAGAACGTTGCAGAAACGCGTTGATGCTTTGTCTCCAGTCACCTTGGGAAGGACTCAACACCTAGGCAAGAGGCTGATTCTGGTAAATTGCTTGTTTCAAACCTTATAAAGCCATTATCTTTTCATTTCAGAGCCATAACATTTTAAATAGATCACAGAGATGCCAGCCGGAGTTTCTGATTTTTCACGTGTTTCAGGCTCTGAGGTTGATCGAGATGTTCAGAATTTAGCATTTGGGGATTGTCGCGGTAATTTGTGTGCCATTCCAATCTATTCTGAGCTAAAATTGATTAACACTCTTAAAAGGGGAAAAACAAAATTTAGCAAATTGCCGCACTAATTAAGGTGAAAGCAAGCCACTCTGTCTCCCAGGGTCTTAGCGCCAACACCATGGGGAGAAGCAAAGGGAGAGGAGGAGCAGCAGCTGTCGCGGGTGGAGGCCTCTGCCTCCTGCTCCCTGTTCACCCTTCTCTGTGCTGTGGCCCTTGCAAACCTGTACTCTGTGCTTATCAAGAAAACACAGCAGATTAAAAGAAAGCCCTAGTTCAAATCCCAGTTTCCCACTGAAGAACCATCTAAGTGGTTCTGATGGTTGGTTCTCTCGCTGTTGAGTGAGTAGGGACAGCCTCAATGGCCCAGGTGAAGGGCCACCAGTGCCCACAACCAGGCAGTTCTCAATGCTGACTCCTCCGTCAGGGTAGTGTGCACCTGTAGTAGTCCTAGCTACTTGGGAGGCGGAGGCAGGAGGATCGCTTGAGCCCAGGAGTTTGAGGAAGCCTGGGCCACTTAGCAAGGTGATGCTTGCTTAAAAAAAAAAAAAATCCTCTGCTTCATGGCTATATGCTACTTAAAGTGCTTGCTTGTGCTCATGTGGCCTTTTATGAAGTCCTTTGGTAGTTGGGAGGCAGAAGTGTGAGGCAGCCTGGGCTGAGCTCTTCTCCTGGGAGCCCAGGGCTTCTCAGAGGTCTCAGATCCTCCAACTCCTGGGCCCATGTCCATACAGGTAGACCAGTTGTCCACTGTTTTACATATATAATTCTTATCCATTGGGAATTGAAGCTCCCCTGATTTAAAAAATAATAATCTTAACAATATGAAGGGTTCAGAAGGACAGTCTCCAGAGTCTTGTTCTCCCCCAATCCTCTACCACTGACAACCCAAGAGAAGAGTCCTAATACCCGCGTAGTTCTCTACCAATTGGTCACCCCCTGTTGCTTTCCTGAGTCCCATGAGACTTGTCAGAACCCAGTAGGACACTGAGAATGAAAGATTTTTAGAGAACTTACTTTTTCCACCATAATAATGACAACGGTAGTAATAATTTACACAGAATCCAGCTCAACAGAGCCACAACCATCATCTGCCCCCTGCCCAACCCCCTCATCCCATGACACCGTCATTTACACAGCTGCTCATCCAGACCTGGGAATTCCTCTCTTTCCCTTGACCTGCCTCCAACCATCACATGTGCTAGCTTGATCCTGCTATTCCTGCAATCCTCCTCCTTCTCTTCCCAACTCATGTGATCTTCCCTAGCACAATGGCAACTTTTTTTTTTTTTTAAAATACAGGCTTGTCTCCACCCTTCTCTTCCACTCGCCTTTTCTCTCCCAAATTGCTATTCATGGGCAAGAGTCAGCTTTCCAAAAAGCAAGGCCACCTGACCTACCCCTTTCCTCTGGTAAAACCACCATGGCTTCCCAGTCCTCGTAAGACAGAAACCACTTTCCAGCAGACTGTTTCTACTGGCAGTTCAGCTGTTCCCCAGCCTCCTTTCTCCACCCCACTGGTAGTTAATCCAGGTTCTTTGGCTGAAGCAATGTTCACAGAGGAAAACCTGCCCTGCCTTCCTCCTCTCATAGAGGTTCTTTTGTTATATGTTCTTGTAGGATCACATACATTTCTCCTGGAAACTCATTAGAGTGGATTTTTTGTGCTGTTGTGTGTGTTGGTCTTCCCTAGACCACAGACTGCAGAATGACCAGGTCCTGTCTGGTTTTTACCACCCTCATATGCCTCATGCCTGGTGTGATAACTGTGTGAGTGACACACAATGAGTTCAAAGCTGGGTCCTTAAGAATGACAAAGCCACAGATTCCTTTGTCCCCACCACAGGTCTTCATTCTTGAGGCCTCTTGTGCATTGGGCTTAGGCGGGCAGCTAGGTGTTTGCCTACCTGTGACCACACAGTGGCATAAATCAGGCAGCTCCATTTGTACCAGCCCAAGTCCCCAGAGCAGCCCTGTGACAGCTGAGTGAGTGCTTTTCCGTGACAGTTACAAGGAAGGGCACATGTGGAAACATCCTGTAGATGACATCAGAGAATGAGTTGGAACAGGAGAGAAGCAGGCTCAGGCTGTGTTCCGCAGTTGTATTAGATAAGCGTGTCAGACGGCACCTTGCGGGCACGGAGGATGGCCTCCCTTGATACAGCTCCAAGAAATCACTTCGTGTAGCTGTTGGAAATGGCGTTTCTAAGAAATGCTCCTGTGGGCCCCTTATTATATCTGCTTGTGCTGGAGATTGAGTAATAGGGAATAGGAACTTTATGAAGGATCAATGCATGATTAAAAACGAACTGTGGGAAATTCGCGATGGACCGGTACGAGTCTCCATAATGACCAATTAGTGTGGATTTGCAAATAGTGATCGCTCAGCCTGCCCATCTCTGTGGTGTGCGGAATGCTCATTGGTCTTCCTGATATTTACATGGCCCATTTATTTTCAGCCTCCAAGTCCCCATATCAACAGACTACCAGGACTGACTGGCCACATTTCTGTTCTCTGATCTCTGCTCAAAGCATGCAGCTCTGAACATCCGCAGAGGAGGAAGAAGAGGAGGATTCCTTTGGTGTAGAGCTTTGTAGATGGTGGCATGCTGACACTCAGGGGCAGTCCTGTGCAGTGGAGAGAAAAGTTTGTTTACCTCCATTCACAGATAATTCGTAAACTGGAATACAGAGTTGAAAAATAGTTGCCTAAAATCAGGCAGCTAAGAAACGCCAAGGCTGATATTTGAGTTTTCCCTTTGAAAACAAAATGGTATCACATACAGGATTATGTAATCCACTAGACAGGAAGGAAAGGATAGAGGTACGTGAACTTGGGCTCAGGATTCCTTCTGTCGTGTGTCCATGGCCACACGGACTGTGTCTAACCTCTCATACTGATGGACCATTTACTTCATTTCTGTATTTTTCGTGCTTCTCTCCTGGAACTCTTCACCCAACTCTATGGAATAGGTTCAATTGTCCCCATTCTACAGATAAGGCAACCCAGGCTTAGGGAGGCTAAATAACTCCAAAGCATGTGGCTGCTGTGCCAGAGCCGGGATTAAAATCCAGAACTCAGTCCACAGCTGCCAGTCTTTCTCCTGTGTTACATCTCCCTCTCTGTGGCTTGCCTAAGCTGAAATACCAACTTTAATTCTAGCTAGACACAGGGTCCTCTAAGCTCTCTCCTTTTCTGGCTGATCCTGAAGAACAAATGAATAAAGCGTGAACCCTGGATTTAGAAGCCCACTAAGAATGGTGCTTCCTGTTGGGGATAAAAGGGACCCATTCCAAGGTGGTTTGGGATGGCCCTGTCTCTGCCATCCTGGGATCAGGTTCTAAACTAGGCGGCCATCATACTAGAGGGTTTGCTTTAAATCAGCAAAACATCCCTTGCCAGTTTTCAGACAAGGCCCTGCAGGTCTCCCAGCCTTTCATCTTGCCCCATTTGGCCCAGAAAGTCACCCTCTTGCCCCCGCCCGGGGCGGATGATCCTGAGCTCCTGAAGGGAAGCAGCTGGGCCAGTGGTGTTTCATGAGCCGCCCGTCCAGCGGGGAGCCCTAATTTATCTCCTTTTCTCTTAGACCTGAGGCCTGCTCGTTACCCACATCAGAAAGCTCATGAAGTGGGATTCAGGACTGTGGTTACAGAAAATATTGATGGTTGACTCTGAAAATTGGCTTCCTACTCCTCCTTAATTGCCTTTGTGGAGTGTGCAGGCTGTTCAGGTGGCTATGATCGCTC